ATAAAAATCAACATTCTGTTAGATTTCTTGGATACTTGTGAATGTTGATGCCATTTTAATGATCTATATACCTGAACTCCCAAGTTTCTGAATCTCAATCTTTTCAACATTTAGAAAGTCTTTTAGATATAAAGTGGATGACCTTTACATTTGCCTAGTTTGAAATCCATTTGGTACAGTTTTGACCACTCATTTAATCCGTAAAATGTAATTTAATGCTTAAATCTGCATAGTTTACAATACCATCCTCCTCTGTGTCATTGACAAATTGGATAATGTGGTTTTCTATCCCATCTAAGTGGTTAGTTCATACAGTGAGTAATTGAGACCCTAACACAGATCCTTGTGGGGCACCACCCATCCCATTCTGCCAGTTAGACTTTATCCCTATTCTGTCTTCCATTTTGCTAATTTCCTAACAAAATCAATAATTTGCCTTCACTTCCACGAGCTTCAATTTTAATTACCAGTCCTCTGAGGGATTTTATTAAATGGCTTCTGCAAGACAGCATAAATGAGAAGTGCAGACATTCCTCTGTCGGTTACTTTAGTAACCTCTTCAAAAGCTTCAGCCAGCTTCATCGGCCATGAGTTACATTTACAAGAGTGTGTTGGCTTTGATTAGTGAAAACTTGTAGTGTGCTTAATCATGCTATCTTTAATTATGGACACTTTTACCTCCTTGAAATGTAACCCCCCACGGACACTGTAGAGCTGGAGATCAGAAAATTGCTCCATGAAGAAGATCCTTGTTGAATATGATCTGCTATTGAGAGCCTTCTTCCTCCCTGTGCACAAATCTGCCCTCTCTGTTGCCTCTGCTCCAACTCCAACTTCTGCTGCAGCTGTAGAAGAATTGCAACCCCAGTCTCCCTGTCCCTGAAGAAAAGTCTTTCTCTGTAGCACATTTAATAGATTCTTTTTTCTGAGTTAGGAATTAAATATAAAAATATTTGTGGGAGCTTGCTGTGCACAATTGGCGGCCATGATTCCTATATTACATGTGTGATTGCACACTATGTTGGCAATAAAGTGCTTTGGGATGCCATGAAAGTGTGTAGAAATGCAAACTTTTATGTTTGCTGAAGACCTTCCAACTTTCTTGAACTCCTTGACGAAGTCCTGCCCCACTTCAATGTGAAGCTAAAGATCTTGTGAACTCCTGCAAAAACAATACTCACTGTGGCAACAAAAGACAATCAAAAACACCTCACCTAAAAGTTGAATGGTGATCCTTTTTAAATTGTACCAGTGGAGGGAAGGGATTTGGTGCGGTTTCTTTATACTGATTGAAAGAGGATGCTAGCATGCAGCGAGGATGCTAGCATGCAGCAAGGCTGCAACAAGACAAATTGGGCACTAACTCAGTTTTGCAACTGTTTTTGATCCATCCATTCACCTGGCTTCAATTTGAATGAAAGCACACTCTCACTTCCAGCCAGGAAGCACTTTATGGATTATACCAGAAGCAATCCAGCTGACAGTTTTGAAATTTTGGTCTTTCCTAACACAAGCACCAGCTGCACTACAAAGCTAACTTACAGTCATAGATTTGACATTGCTCTGCATGACTTATAAGTAATTCTGTTATCTGGAATTTGAGTATGCATAGACTGTCCATGTCTCAATTGTCATATTAGGAGTAGAAGCAAACCATTCAGCCTCTCATTTTGTATCATGGGCTGATTAGTTAAATGGGCAGGAAAAATAAAAAGCAGAGTATTAATTAAATAAAGAATGATGACAGAATTCCAAGGTACAGTGAGATTTAGTTGTCCTGGAACATGAGTCATGAAAAGTTAGTATGCAGGTACAGCACCAGGCTGATACCCAGGGAATGACAAGACTGCCATATGAGGAGAGATTGGTGCTATTGGGCCTGTGTTCACTAGAGTTTAGAAGATTGAAAGGGGATCTGACTGAAACATAAGAACTTCTAAGAGGATGCACAGACTAGATGCAGGGAAGATGTTTTGCCTGGTTGGGGAGTCTAAACCAGAAGTCACAGTCTCAGGATACAGGGTAAGCTATTTGGTGCTCAACCTGTGTATTTCACAGCCATCAAAAGCTGAGGAGGCCAGATCGCTGAGTGTTCATTTTTTTTAAATTTAACCTTTTTTTTCTAAGTAGCCTTGCTACTTAGAGACTTGCACTGGAGCCTCCCAGTCAAGGGGTAGGGATACTATCAATGCACCATAAATTTTAAGATATTAAAGGCAACAAAAGGTATGGAGAAAAACTGAAAATATGGCATTGAGATGGCGAATCAGTCCTGACCATATTGAATCACAGAGGAGGCTTGAACGATTGTAAGGGCTACTCATGGTCCTAGTTTTTGTCTCTATGCAATCAAAAAGTCCAGTGTGGTACCATGCTTTGTTGCAAGAGGAATTGAACTTAAAAGTACGGGTGTTGTGTCTCATATATACAAAAAAACTTAGTGAGACCATATCTCAAATACTGTGTGCATTTTTGCTCTCTTCATTTACGAAAAGATGTAAATGTATTGGAAGTCTTTCAGAGGATGTTTTCTAGATTGATACCTGGAATGAGTGGGCTGTTTTATGAAGATAGGGTAGACAGGCTTGACTTGCTGGAGTTTAAAAGAGTGAGGCATGACTTCATTGGAATATATAAGATACTGAATGGTCTTGACGAAGTAGACATGGAAAGGATGCTTCCTGTTGTGGGTGAGCCCAGACTAGGGGGGCACTATTTTAAGATTAGTCCTTTCAGGACAGAGCTCACAAGGATTCTTTTCTCTAGAGGGCAATACAACTTTAACTTGCTGCTTCAGAAGGTGGTGGGGGCAGTAATTGAATACCTTTAAGACAGAGGTGAATAAATTCTCACTAGGCAGGAGAATCAAGAGTTATAGTTGGAATGTGGAATTCAAAAACACAAGCAGATCAACCATGGAGGTAGCTCAAGTGGCCAAGTTGTCTGTTTATGCTCCTACTCTGTATGTTCGTATTGAACTTCCTGACTACCCACAACAACCTTTGCAACATCCTTATCAACTAAGAATCTATAAATTGCCCTGAAAAATATTTAATTCACTGGCTGCACAGTTCTTTGGGGAAGAGAATTTCACAGACTCAATTGTCTGAGAGAAAACCGTCTCACCTCTACCTTAAATCAGAGTCTCTTCAGGACTTTGCATGTTTCATAGAATCCCAACAGTGCAGATACAGGCCATTCAGCCCATTGATTCTACACTGACCCTCTGAAGAGCATCCTATTCCCCCTACCCTACCTCACATTTACCATGGTTAATCCATCTAGCCTGCCTATCCCTGGATACTATGGAGCAATTTAGCACAGCCAATCGACCTAACCTGCTCATTTTTGGATTGTGGGAGGAAACCGGAGCACCTGACTGAAACACATGCAGACATGGGGAGAACGTACAAACTTTGCGTAAGCAGTCACCCAAAGCTGGAATTGAACCCGGGTCCTTGGCGCTGTGAGGCAGCAGTGCTAATCACTGTGCCACCTTTTATTCTTAAAAGGATCACTTTTTTAATTCTTCTCAACTCAAATGTATATAGACTTACTCTGTCCAGCCTGTGGCAACACCTTGGAATGGATATGTTAGTTTTTGAAAGATCAAGCCAACAACGGTGCTCGCCTAAGCACAAAGTGACATTCTGCCATTTTCTGTCAGATGCTCATTAGATAGCAGGAAATGTTGGGAATGTAAATACATTTGTAGATCGTAATCTTGAAAAGGAGAGATTGCTATTCTTCGATTCCCATTTGACTTGCACATCATGGGTTGAAATATGAGGTTCTGGATCCCGCCCTCTCAGCTAATAGGTCTGGTAGAACACGCTGAGGTTGCCCCGGCTGCTCCAGTTTGAGCACAACACTTTAACAATCCCCCACTCCTCTTTGGATTATGAAGTCCCACCGCACAGCTGTCAGCTAATCAGAGGTCGTCCTCTGAGGCCATCCAGAGAGGGGCTGGAGTGATGTTGAGGTTTGAGAGGTCAGGGATGAATGAATGTGGGCATCCTAGTTGGGTTAAAATATTGAGGAGGTGATGTGTCATGAACTAGATGAAATCCCTTCAAAACAAATGAAGGAGATAGTAAGGGTCTAGGCTTTTATCTTACTCAGAAGCAAGTGTAAGGTTCTGCATTCTGGATGTCATTCAATTGGTTAAAGTACTAGGCTTTAAGCAAACCACACTTTATTCTTACTCCACAGTTAAAATACAAACAAAACAATTGAATGAACTTTAATTCTATTGAAATACTTATCAAAATAATATATTATTTAACTACTACTCATCAACTGTTCTAAGATAGCAACATCCCATAAACACACACTTGGCAAAGGCAAATTCTGCAAAGCAAATTTCCCTCACTTGCTATCTTCTGCAATCCAGGAGAATAAAAAAAAAAATGGAAGAATGAATCTAGCAGCAGAGACAGAACTTGAGCTTTTTGCAGCAGCAGAGAGGTAGCTATATCTAACAGTTTCAATTCCAAAAATCCCAACTGAAAACAAAACTAAAACCGTGAGTCTGTGTGGGCCTGACTCCAGCTACCCATGCTTCTTTTGTTTAACTTAAACAAATCCCCAAAGCTGAAGTAGACTCCTTGTCGCCAAGTTTACAATATGCCTCTTAAAGAGAAGCCTTTCAGAACAAATCCCTTTTAAAGGTACATCTCATCACAGATGTTTCACTCTTTGAGCATGGGGGCTCATTAAGGAGGGATTCTTCCCCCCCCACCTCCACCCCGCCGCCCACTGGTTAATTCCCAGCAGTGTGAGATGCAGCCCTCAAGTAAGCATCAATTGCCCACTGGTGGACATGTGTCCTGACTCTATCCCCACTGCTGATATATTTGCACTGAGGTTGAGTGGGCAGAAGGCAACAGACAGTCTACTCACGAGATTGAACTAGTCACTTGCATTCAGATACCTTTTCCAGTAATTCAGCAAATGTATTTTGTGTATGTTGAAGATAATGTATTGATATCTATGTTTAGCAAAAAATGAACAGGAAGAAGAGGAGGAAAAGAGAGAAATTAAAAGACGGCTGACACGAAAGGTAAGGATTTGATTTGGATCAGATGGTGCATAAGGAATGGCAGTGACACAAAAGTATTTTTAACAAGAAGGCTGATTTTCCACTGAACACTATTGACTGAAATTTTTCTTTAATTTTTACACCCTTTCTCTTTGCTTTCAACACTCAGGCTAAAGTAACAATTTGAATTCCATTAATTTCAGGTTTTCAAAATGCTGGAAATATGCAGTACTCCATTAATGGTGAGGGGAAACAGAGCCAATGATCTAATATCAGAATTGAGAAAAGTTTGAAATGCAATACAGTTTGAAGTGAAAGGAGAGAATGGAACAAACTGGAAGATTGGTGATAGGGCAGGAGATCGGAGAGATTAAATAATAAAAGGAGTAGCAATGCAAGAGGGCAAGTGAGTAAAGAAAATAGTATTAGAGAAGATATGAAGGGTGGAATGATGAATGGGGGCCATCAAAAAGCAATAACAAGAGAAACATTGAAGTGAGACCAAAACCTGGAAAGAGAAAGGAAACAAAATAGGAGCAGACAAAATGACAATCCTATCGTTCATGAGGTCATGTTTCAAGTGTCCAAACTGTTAGGATTTGTCTAGATGTATCAGTGTAGACACGTACTGATCAGTAGTCTCCTGTCCTGCTGAGCCCTGATCTTGAACTCATAGTACTTAAGTATTAATATGGTATGTGCTCAAAGCATACAAAATATGACTGCTTTCTTCGCATCAGTGAGATTTTGTAGCACGCTTTCCCCAGCACTGATAGCAGAGTTGCTATTTTTATTTACTTTTTTAAAAATAATCCTATAGCCATTTCATAGTTTTGCTCTGAGAATGTAAAAATCCAATTCTGTGTCAAAAATATACTAACAAATCGTAACAGTTTCTATAGACTGTTAAAGACAGCATTGTGTTGTCAGCTTTTCTTTATTCTTGGAATGTGGGCTTTATTGATCAAGCTAGCATTTATTGCCCATCTCCAGCTCCCCTTGGTGGTGGTGAACTGCCTTCTGGAGTTGCTGCAGTCCATTTAGTGTAGGTACACCCACAATGCTGTTAGGGCAGGTGTTCCAAGATTTTGATCTAGGACAATGGAAGAAGCAGCAATATTTTTCCAAGCAGCTTAATGAGTGTGTTGGAGGGGAGCTTGCAGGCAGCAATGTTCCCATATATCTGCTGCCCTTGTACTTCTAGATGGTAGTAGGAGTCTTGGTGAATTGCTGTATGCATCTTATGGATGGTGCACATTTCTGCTACTGAGCTTCTGTGGTGGAGGGTGTGAATATTTATAGATGTGGTCCAATCAGTTGTGGCTTTGTCTTGGATGGTATCATGTTTCTTGCATTTTGTTGAACTCATCTAGGCAAGTGAATATTCCATCACAATCCTGACTTGTGCCTTGTAGATAGTGGACAGATACTGGAGAGTCATAAGGTGAATTACTTGCTGCAGGATTCCAAGCCTCCAACCTTCTTTCATAGCCATAGTATTTATATATATACGGCCAGACCAGCATCTGATCAATGGTAACCCCTAGGATAGTCAGAGTTTCAGGGGCAGTAATGTCATTGAATATCAAGGGGCAGATTAGCTTCTCTCTTCTTGAGTATGATTATTGCCTGGTACTTCTATGACATGAATCTTACTTGCCACTTGTCAGCCCTAGCCTGGGTATTGTCCATTTGGACACACATTGGATGCGTTCGGACAAGGTCTGCTTCAGTATCTGATTCTCAACTAGCGCTGAACATTGTGCTATCATCATTGAACATCCCGTTATGGAGGAAAGTGTAGTGATTGTATAAAGGTCAGCCAGGTGAACATGATAGAACATGAGTTTCCTGATTGGGGCTGTTAATCTGTTAGATATCCTGTTCATTCTGAGAGCTGGCTCCAAGGAAGCTGGATCAATGTCAAGGACTCTCCATGTGAAAATAAAGGATGACTTGGTGACAGGATACTGGCCTCTGTGGAGTAATTTCAGAAAGGACATTGATGAAGCAGCTGAAGGTGGTTGTACCTAGAAAACCACCCTGAGGAACACCTGAAGACATGTCCAGGAAGTAAGATGACTGACTTCTTCCAACTACAACCATCTTCCTTTATGCTAAGCATGACTCCAACCAGCAGAGAGTTCCTCCCCACCCTCCCTGATTCCCATTTACTCTACTTTGCTAGAGCTCCTGAATGCCACAATTATTCAAATGCAGCCTTGATGTCAACATGACCACTTTCACCTTCCCTTTGAAATTTGGCTCTTTTGTCCATGTATGAACCAAGACTGTAATGAGATCAGGAACTGAGTCATAGACTGTTGGACATGCACAGCACAGAAACAGTCACTTTGGTCCAAGTTGTCCATGCTGACCAGATATCCTAAATTAATCTAGTCCCACTTGGCCCATATATTGCTATTCTTTCTATTCATATACCCATCCAGAATGCTTTTAAATGTTGTGATTGTACCATCTCCACCACCTCCTCTGCCAGCTCATTCCATACACGCACTAGCCTCTGCATGAAAACATTGCCCCCTAGATCCCTTTTAAATCTTTCCCCTCTCACCTTAAACCTATGCCCTCTAGTTTTGGAACTTTAGTGAAAAGACATTGGCTATTCACCCTATCCATGCTCCTCATGATTTCAAAAACTCCTAAAGGCACTTCTGAGCCTCTGACGCTCCAGGGAAAATAGCCCCAGCATATTCAGCCTCTTCCTATACCTCAAACCCTCCAACCCTGGCAACATCCTTGTAAATCTTTTTGAACTCTTTCAAGTTTCACAACAGCTTTTCTATAGCAGGGAGACCAGAATTGAACAGTGGTTAGGCCAGTTTTGGTGTAATGTCCTGTACAGCCGTAACATGACCTCCCAACTCCTATACTCAATGCACTGATCAAGAAAGGCAAACGTACTAAGCACCTTCTTCACTACCTTGCCTACCTTTGACTCCACTTTCAAGGAACTATGAACCTGCACCCCAAGGTCTCTTTGTTTGGCCACACTCTCCAGGACCTTACCATTAAGTGCATAAGTCCTGCCCTGATTTGCCTTACCAAAATGCAGCACCTTACATTTATCTAAATTAAATTCCATCTGCCATTCCTCAGCCCTATTGATCAAAGTTGTACTCTGAGGTAACTTTCTTTGCTGTCCACTACACCAGCAGTTTTGGTGTCATATGCAAACTCACTAACTATACCTTCTATATTCACATCCGAATTATTTATATAAATGACAAAAAGTAGATGACCCAGTCCCAATCCTTGCTGTACACCGCTGGTCACAGGCCTCCAGGCTGAAAAGCCACCCTCCACTACCACCCTTTGTCTCCTACTTTCGAGCCAATTTTGTATCCGAATGGCTAGCGCTTCCTGTATTCCATGTGATCTAGCCTTGCTAACCAGTCTACTATGTGGAACCTTGTGGATTGCTTTGCTGAAGTCTATTTAGACAATGTCCACCACACTGTCTTCGTCAATCTTCTTTGTCATGTCTAAAAAAAACTCAAATCAAGTTGGTGAGACATGATTTCCCATGCATAAAGCTATGTTGACTATCCCTAAACAGTCCTTCCCTTTCCAAATACATGTAAATCCTATCCCTCAGAATCAGATTCAGGTTTGTCAACCTCAAACTGAATGTGAAATTATGTCATGTTATGATGACCTTTGCCTCCTGCTTCTCCATCCTTGATTATTTGAAGATTGTCAATCCAAGGCTTATGCTGTGACCTTACCATGGAGGGAATGAAAGGATGTGGGCTACTCCAGTTGAAATGGTGATTGACACCCAGATGTTGGCATTATTTTATGCCATCTAGTCAACTGAGCTAACTCAACTGCCCACCCTTCACCCTCACCCCAACATTCTACCCTTGATGATCCTTTACTGTGAAATTATTATGCGATCCTGTCTCATAACACATTAACAAGCCAAAAATAGACTGTACTCTTTTCCTAGTTAGTTCCAGAATGTATTGTTCTATGTTTGAATACACCCTGCACCCATCCTCAAGACTACCTTTGTCAATTTGATTTCTTCAACCTACAATAAGATTAAAATCTCTCATGATCAACACTGTACCTTTCTTACAAGCCCTTTTATTATTTTCTAATTTATTGTCTCTTCTATCATGTAACTGGTAGAAGTCCTTTAAACTTGTCTACCAGTGACTTTCTCACCTATTTCTTATCCTACTAAAGCTGATTCTAAGTCTTGATCTTCTGAGCAAAGATAATTTCTCACTTCTGAGGTAACATAATCCTTTATTGACAAAGCTACCCACACGTCCTTTTCCATTCTCAAATATTTTTGTTCCAGCCTTGGTCACAAAGGAACTATGCCTCTATAATAGTTATATCATACCTTTTCATTTATATATGTGCTATCATTTTTGCACATGACTACATAACAAGATAGACATTCAGGTGATAACTTTTTTTTAACCATTTCCTTACTCAAGCTTATTTCCTGGTGCACTCTTATGTTTGTATACTCTGTCTCTTACTATCACAGTCTGGTTATCTTTACCCCAGTTGCCTTGTCCTCTCTTGTTAACGTTCTAAATCTCCTCTGTATTTAGTTTAAATCCCTTTCTACCACCCTAGTTAGACAATTCACCAGGATCCCGGTGCCAGCACAGTTCAAGTGAAGCTTCTTTGTACAGCTTCTCTTTCACAGCTGGTGCTAGTGCCCTATAAAAGAAAAGCCATTTTTCCCAAAGCAATTGTCGTCATTGTCTGTTCCTCAATTTGCATATGACATGTAATCTTTATCATGGATTTCTTCTGTGGCTCTTAATCATAGAATTCTATACTACAGAACAGGCCCTTCAACCCATCAAGTCAGTACTGCCAAAACTACACTAGATCTACATAAGTGCCACTTTCCAGCACTTGGCCTATAGCCTTGAATGTCACAACATTTTAAGTGCTCATCCAAGCATATTAAAGGTTGTGAGGTAACCTGTTTTTATTGCCCTCACAGACAATGTATTCCAGACCCCACCAACCTCTGGATGAAAAGATTGTTCCTCAACACCCCTCTCAACCTTCTGTCTTTTGCCTTAAAAGGGTGCTCCCTTGTTATTAAAGGAAAGAGCTGTTTTTCTTTCCACCCTGTCCATTTCCCTCCTAATCGTACACACTTTTATCAAGTCCCCTCTCATCCTTCTTTGCTCCAAAGAAAACAACTGAGCTTATCCAACATCTCTTCATAGTTAAGATGCTCCATCCAGGCAACATCTTGGTGAATCTCCAATGCACCCCCTTCAGTGCAATCACATCCTTTCTGTCATGCAGGGACCAGAACCGCACACTGTACTCTAGCTGTGGGCTAACAAAAGTTCTGTACAGCTCCAACATAACCCCCCTCTTCTTATAATCCATGCATTGACTGATAAAAGTGACTGAACAGGCAAATTCTGGGTGCACATTTGGGCACACGAGACAGGATATCCAGTTGGGTACTTGGATATTGAATGCAGGATTTGTTTTATTTTCTTCTCTGAACTAATACTCTCCTTTTCAGTCAAAAATTGTGACATGAAGTGTGCTTGATAGACATGTTGTCTTTATTCCCAGCCATTAAGGTCAATGGTACATATTTCAAGGGCAATTTCAGAGTATCCTTGAAACACTTCCTCTGTCATTCTGAGCATTTATCATTTGAGTGTTCAGTGATTTGGATCTGGCCTAGGAGTTTGTTTGTTTGTGTCTAAACACAGTCCAGTCCAGTCCATCCAAATCCATTTACAAGGGATACAAGATACATTTTACGAATCAATTTTGCCTGAATGCTTTGTACACCTGTCTTCAAGAGGGACATTAGTGTTTTATTCAACAGTCAGCGCACTGAACCCGGAGGAGACATTGCTGATGTAATTTCTCTAGAACTGTTATGTATATTGATACACAATCCAGATGCCACTACAGTACAATAGCGTTGTGAAGACAACTATTCTGAACACCAGGAAATTTATTGATTTGTAGAACTCTTTTTACAGAAGGTTGAATTAGTGTCACTGATCTTGTCTTGGATCTTCTCATCAAATGTGGCCTTTTATGGGGCATGGCTGTCAATGTGTTTCCAACATATTCCAAATTCTCTTCTTCAAAATATGTTGAAGGTGGAACACTTGGCTGATCAGATCCAAGCTGATGTATGAGATTTGGAGGTGGTTACAAGATAAGGAGGGACAGGGTCATAGATTTTTTTTTTAAAAAGGAGAATGAGGATTTTCAAACTAAGGTGTGCCAGACTGGAATATATTGTAGGTCAGTGTGGGGATTGGTCCAACTTAGGATAAGACAGTACAATAATTTACATCACTTCAAGTTCATAGGAGATACACTTGAGTCTTGATGTAATAAAAGAATTGATGAAGGTTTCAGCAACTGCGGGGCTATGAGGCAGGGCACTATGAATGTAAGAAAGATTCTTTAAATAAGACAAACATGCCAATAAAGTCTAATTGATTTAGTGACATCTGTTTGAGAGCTGGTGGACTAGTTTATCATTGTTTATCATTATTGCAATGCATTGGTGGAATACAGAAGGAAAGGTGTAACGAGGAGGATTGGACACCTTTTTTAAAAAAATCCTTCTAAAGATAATGTTTGCCTCCTAAGTTCTCTTCCCTTCTCTAAATCATAAACTTCACAAATACGTGGCATGTAGAGCATGTTGGTAAAATTGTGCTATCTGAGATGAAGTACAATAAGCAATGGGTAGCACACCAGCCTTTAAGACCAGAAACAAACCAAAATAAGGACACAGTAATGCTAACCACTGCTGACAATGTAAATAGCAAAGACAAACGTTCAGAAATATTGGAAAGTTGTTATTAGTCTATGCTGTTAGCAGGAACCATTTTCGACAGCAGTAAAAAGGTCAATCAAATGCACACTACTCAATAGATTCCTCATAGTGGGAAGTGTACTTGAATATCTGACTTGCACTGATGCCATCATTTGAGTTTAAAATTTATGAGTCAAAATGGCTGCACATAAATGTGACCTGTTTCTTCATGTGTTGGTAAAATCATCTGTAAATTACTCTATGCGATTGGAAGTGACTAATGATGTCCATTGTGTGTCTTAAATGAACTACGTCTATCCACTAGTAATTCAAAAGATTGCAAACATGTTACCTACGTTGTCTTATAAATCTACAATATCAGTGGTCATTTTCTTCTAGCTTAGCCAAAGACCTACAGTGGAGGAACTGAGAGAGAGAAAAATCCTTATCCGTTTCAGTGACTATGTGGAGGTAGCTGAGGCCCAGGATTATGACAGACGTGCAGACAAGCCATGGACAAGGCTAACAGCTGCTGACAAAGTAAGATATTATGGTCAAACATTCAGAAATATAGGAATAGCACAGGTATTGAGAATTTTTTCGAACAGAATCTATTGTTTCAGTTTTTGAAGTTTGAATTAGCTGAGCTTCAACAGTTTCTTGAGGGATGAGAATTCTAAAGTTTCACTACCATTTGTACAAAGAATTGCTTTCTGATCTCACGTCAGAAATGAACAGGAAAAATAAGTAGGTACATCAGATAGAATACATAACATAGAAAAGGAGGAAATATAAAGTCCAGTATTTCTCTAACAATTCCAATGCCTTTTAAATTTCAGGCTGCTATTCGTAAGGAATTGAATGAATTCAAAAGCACTGAAATGGAAGTGCATGAATTAAGTAGGCACCTAACAAGGTATGGGTTTCCATCTTACAACATATTGACTGGAATGTCTTCACATCCTAAATAAGTGCCATCTAATAAATATTTGTTGCATTCCTTTCAGGTTTCATAGGCCCTAGCTGTTTATTGTGTATAACCATGGAGTCTTACAAAAACCAGAAGTGCTAGGGCTGTACAAGTGCCCACTAAACCCTCCAGGGCAGAACTCTTCTTAATTACCTTTGTGTATCAGATATTTACAGCAATGCATATTTTCCAGTTGTCTACTAATCTGCTGACCTTCAGGAGTTACTGTGTTGCTCCAGATCAGAAGTGCCACACCCGTAAGCTGCTGACTTCTAATACCATTATTCAGCACTATCTCCCATTGTTAATTGCACGAGATGATTCAAAAGGATGAAATCTAAATCAGTATGTGTGATGGAGCTGAGACAACACAGTACAGTTATTTCTCTAAAGGAATGCCAAGTTTCTCTGCTGTTAATGTTACTGAACTTTTACCATACTACCATTCTTTGGACCCAAACTCAGCCAGCTTGCATATGTAGGTATAGTTGGCTAAATTGCATCAGTTTATCAAGCATTGGTTGCAGGTTCATCAGGTTTGCTGGAAGGGGCTATATCTTTTATGATAAATATATGCTACATAAAAATAAATAGGTAGCAATTGAAATAAATGTTTATGTAATAAGCTGTAATACACCTAACCATGTTCTGATTGATGGAACACAAATTACCCCTGAAGATAGTCCTGGACTGGTAAATGAAGGAGTTTCTTCAGCACACAGATTATATGTTTTGGAACTTCATGTATGTAAGGAGCTTCTCTATGAATACAACTTGCTGGTTGAGCAGAATAAATACTTACAAGTTACTAATTTTAAAAAGCTGGATAAGAGTAATTATTGATTTATAACACTGTTAAGGTTACAGAGGCTGCACCATTTAATATTCAATCTGATTCTATTTTCACAGTTTGGAGGCAAATTTTACCCTAGGCAGTTGAACAATTTACAGCTTAATGCAAGTTTAATAGCCTGGTCATAGGAGAAACCAGTGAGTGCTCCTTTAGCTTGAGAAAAGGCTGAATGTAGGCTGGTGAAAGAAAAGGCCTGTGTCCACAGTTACCTGATGACATCAATTTGTATTATATAAGCTGCACTTTTCAAGGAAGACACTTTACTTTTGCCCATATTAAGTGCATAATTTTGTATACGAAAGAATTGAATTGTGGTGTAAATCAAATGAGACATTCATGTATACATAGTGAAGTATATATATGAATATGTACAAGTCCAAGGAACACTTATGACAGGGTCACAGCTACCATATATCTCTGCTCTGGATGGAATGTTTTCTAATATGAAGTACAGCAGCCAGCTATACATGCTTAGTTATTCTAACAACCTTATCCTGTACGTTGTGCCAGTTTTGCCTTTGACCCCAGATGCGGTGACTGTATCAGTTAGAGGCCTTTAATCTTAATCTGTACCTAACTCGGCTAAAGTCAGGATTTTAAAATTAAGACAAACTTAAAGATTTATTCTAATTTTTCTATTATTCCTTACGCATAATGAAAGGGAAACTCTACCCTCATAGAATTACAAAGAATGGAAAGGTTCCATTCACATCAAGGTTCTGTTTTAAAGCTGTAATTACCCATCAACCAGCAGCATGGTGGCTCAGTGGGTAGCATTGCTGCCTCACAGCGCCAGGAACACAGGTTCGATTCCTTGGGTTGCTGTCTGAATGTTTGCACATTCTCCTTGTGTCTGCATGGGTTTCCTCCGGGTGCTCCGGTTTCCTCCCACAGTCCAAAGATGTGGAGGCTAGGTGGATTGGCCATGCTAAATTGCCCATTGTACTCAGGTATGTGTAGATTAGGTGAGTTATAGGGGGATGGGTCTGGGTGGGATGCCCTGAGGGTTGGTGTGGACTTGTTGGGTTGAAGGGCCTGTTTTCACACTGTAGGGATTCTATGATCTATGAACCCATTACCATACAGTAAATGTTGCTGGTTTATGCTGTTATTTTAGCCAAAACTGTGACTCAATTTACTTTAAAAAAAACTGATGCTGTTGATGTTCAGCTCCTTGAGGTTGGAATCTAAACTGTACTTTTCTGTGTACATTCTCTGAACTGTTTGGAGTCTTTCCTGTCAGTTTAAACTCCAGTTGCTCAGTGGGTTTTCATGAACACATGGTTCTGAACAAATTGTATGAATTAATGAGTGTTGAGTACCTGTACATAATTGTCTTTGTAGAGGAGTGAATGTTTGGCTGTTCCCCCTGTGCTCTCTCAGTATTGTATAATAAACAAATTTTGATGTATGAAAACTGTAAATAACCATAAAAAATTGAGTCTCTAATTTGGGTTGCTCCAGGCGTTGTCATCTGTACATACCGAAATTGCATGTTATTGTATAATTTAAATTACTGTCTACAAGTTTGTTTCAAATGATGTATACAGTTTCTTAAAACTAAATTTTATTTAAAAAGTCTTTTTTAGTGGTTGGCATTCAACAACTGTTTTTACATAAAAGGGGCTTCAATTTAAAGAGTTTGGTTAAATCTAATTTTGCTAAATAACTCAAGCTTTGGTCCCATTAAAAGTTAAAACAAAGGCAAACTGGTGTCTTCATTTTCACTGTCATTTGATGCAAACTTCTTCAAGTTCATTAAGTTTGGAATGGTTAGATATTGTAGGTGCAAGTAATAAAAAGACAAAAAGCTAATTTGGGCAATGTGGCACCTGAACTTTGGCAAATGGAAAGTTTCCAAATGGTCAAAAGTAGCTTCCACCAAGCATCAACACATTTTGGGCGAGAAGTGCACTGGATGTCATATTTTCAAAGAGGTTTGCGTGTGTGCACCTAATGGTCAGCAGGACCATGCAGAACATGGAGACTGTGACGTTTATCACCATGTATGTCAGTACTGCTATTCCCAAACTTCATGCTTTAGCCAATGCAGAGTCTCCTAACCTTGCAAATGTTGTATTAAATGCACAAAAAACTAGTCTCACTATTAATTTATAGGAATCATAAAATATTTAAAGGTTGTTTGCTACAATATTTCTTCGGACTGTTGATGCAGTTCTGTACATTTTGGTCGCTTTCTTATACTTGCATATAGTTTCAATCATCCTTCCGAGACTGATCTGACTGGTGATCAGAGATAGTAGGATCTGACTGGTGATCAGATTTTTTTTGAGTCATAGAGTCAAGCAGCATAAAAACAGACCCTTTGGTCCAACTAGTCCATGCCGAAAAGTTTCTCCAAACTAAACTAGGCCCATTTGCCTGCATTTGCCCACAGCCCTGTAAACATTACCTATTCATGTACCTGTTCAAATGTCTTTTAAATATTGTAACTGTATCTACATCCAGCTCTTCCTCTGGCAGTTCGTTCCACATATGAGCCACACTACTGGAAAAGCTGTCCCTTGGATCACTTTTAAATCTTTCTCCTCTCAGCTTAAAAATATGCCCTCTAGTTTTGAAATCCCCTACCCTAGGGATTCAAAAGAATCTTACTATGCAGAACTGGCTAGCTCCAAAAGTGCAAATAGATTCAGCTCAGCAGGGGTTGCTGATACTGCTATCAGGTCAACTGAGATTTTATCTTGACAGCTTTATAGCCACTTCAAAGCATTATACGTTTTGAAGTGTTTTAACATGCTTGTTCATTTATCTCAAGTTCCCAATGTTATTATAGAGCTCCAAGTGTTCTATGTGAAAATGGATACTGCGTGAGTGGAAGTGGAAGGAATGCAATGAGGACATAGCAGGGGCATGGTAGCTGTGAAGGAGATATGGACCATCTTGGAGGTATGGGAGGTATGCTAATGAGATATACATTGGGGTGATTTACTCATCTGGGCTGATGCCCCAGTAAATGAAGACTGGAATTTTAGCAATTTGGGGCTATACAATGCAAGCGCAGAACCATTGAAGAGGCAGGATTTTGACGTTATGAGTTGATCTCAGCGAGGAAATTTTGGCCCAGTATGCAATTACCTAATCGATTTTCCCCATCCCACTTACCATCATCCTATCATCTCTTCTAAAATCTGAATGGCAAAAATGGAGAGAGCACTAGGAACAAGACACAAATAGAAAACACCATTACTCCACTTCACTCTGTACTCACCAACTTTGATACTGACACTGTGTATACACAGAGGGTCACATGGTGGCAGGAAATTGAAATCTGTTTTGTCAGTCAGTGGGCAGAAGTGGCCTGCTGCCACGATACACAGAATTTTTGCAGAGGATTCAGATGATGACTTTGTTGGGGTGGCATACAGGAAACGGCTGCTGGATAGGCACACTCACATGATTAGTGCATTGGAAGGTCTACCAGGAAGTCTACTACCACTATCAAAGAACATGCAAATTCGGGCTCCAATTTGACACTAGGCTTTGCACATAGCTTGAAATGAATTAATATGACTATGATGCAGCACCATAGCTACAGTGGAGACAAGACATATGTCACAGGGCTTAGCATGCTACAGTATAAATATTTTTGATATGATGCAGACTCAGACTGCTGTCATAATGGCTTTGGAAACTAGTACTCAAAATGGCACCCTCCAATAGATAAGTAGGTTTGCTGAAGCACCATCACAGTTATGCCTGCCTCTTTACGGGGTATGTGGAATGATCCTTGTTCCAATCTCACACTGGCCCTCCCACAACTCTTTTCTCAGTATATCAACAACTGCTTCGGTGCCGCTTTGTGCTCCTGCCAGGACCTTGAAAAATTTGTTTTCATTTTGTGTCCAGTTTCCACTACTCTATAACTTTCACATTGTCCATTTCCAACACCTTCCTTCTTTTCCTTGACCTCTTTGTCTCCATTTCAGGGAATAAACTGTCGACTGCCATTCGCTACAAAGCCAACAAGTTCCATAGCTACCTTCACTACAGCCATGATGTGGAGGTGTCAGTGTCGGACTGCGTTGGACAAGAGCAGACAATCACATGACACCAGGTTATAGTCCAACAGACTATATTTGAAAACATTATTTTTTGGAGTGTTGCTCTTTCTTCAGGTATAGTGAGAGAGGCATCAAGACACAGAATTTGTAAGTAAAAGATCAAAAGAACATACAACTGATTCAAATGTATTGATTAAACCTAAAATGGCTGGCTGACTGACTCCCTCCTGTTAAATCTTTAATCAGTTAGAAAGGAGATGCATTGATTAAAATGCAAATCCCAGAATTTCTTTCAAGTCACTGCCCCAGATAACTAAAGGTCTTATCAGTGTGTACAAAAGGTGAGATCTCAGGTCAGACTCTGCATTTATGCTTAGAATGTGTCTGTGTTTTAACCTGGAGTCAGACTGGTTTTATAAAATGTCCCATTGACTGACTGTCTATAAATTGTGTGCTTTTTGAACAAAATAGAATGTATCTGCAAATACAAATCTGCAAGTGCAAATTCACCCCTAGATTTGTGTGTGTGTGAGTGAGAGATTGTGTGTGTGTGTTTACGTGTTTGAGAGAGTGTGTGTGAGTGAGAGAGGGTGTGTGTTTGTGGAAGAGGGTCTGTGTGAGTATGTGAGTGCATTTGTGTGAGTGAATACGTATGTGTGTGACAGTGTATAGTGTGGTGGGGTCACCTGTAGTGTGACATGAACCCAAGATCACTGTTGAGGCCATTCTCATGGGTACCAAACCTGGCTATCAGCCTCTGCTCAGTGACTGCATTGTATCCCAAAGTCCACCTTGGATGATGTTACCTGAAAATCCAAGGCTGAATGTTCCCTCACTGGGAGACAGCACCCCTGTCTGGCGATTATTGCGTGCTGCCCATTCATCTGTTGTTGTAGCATCTGCATGACCTTGCCAATATACCATGCCTCAGGGCATCCTTGTCTGCAGTGTATGAGATAGACAATGTTAGCCAAGTCACATGGGTTTCTGCTGTGCATGTGGTGGGTGGTGTTCCCACGTGTGATGGTTATCCATGTCGATGATCTAACATGTCTTGCAGAGGTTGCCATGGCAGGGTTGTGTGGCGTCATGGTTGATGTCATTCCTGAAGGTTGGGTAGTTTGCTTCGAACAATGGTCTGTTCAGGGTTTGGTGGTTGTTTGAATGCAAGAAGTGGAGGTGTCGACAAGTTCTTGGCGAGGTGCTCATTGTCATCAATGATGTGTTGAAAGGCTGTGAAGAACATGGTGTAGTTTCTCCACTCCAGGGAAGTACTGGATGACAAAGAGTACCCTATCGGTCGTATCACGTGTCTGTCTTCTGAGGAGGTCATTACCGCTTTGCAGAACATCTATGTTCTGCTCGCAAAAAAGACCCTGAACTACCTGTTGCCTGCCACTTTAACGCGCCACCCTGCTCCCTGGCCAACATCTCTCTCTCTGGCTTGTTGCAGTGTTCCAGCGAAGCCCAATGCAAGCTGGAGGAACAACGCCTCATTTTCCGCTTGGGCCCTACAGCCCTCTGGACTCAATATTGAGTTCAATAATTTTCGGGCCTAAACTCTCTCACATCCCAGCCCCCTACCCAACACACGAGGCCTTGTTACCACTTAGCCTGCCAATACACACACTGTGTTGTTAGTCGCTAACAGTCCCTATTAACAACTATTCACCCTCCCAGCCTGATCGTTAGCAACTCCTTTGTCTGCCCAACTGTCTTTCTCTCTCTTTGGGCTCTATCCTATCGTTTACTCCCTACCTCACCCTCTTGTCTGCATATAAACTGACATTTTCCCAGCCACTATCCGTTCTGAGGAAGGGTCACTGGACATGAAACTTTGACTCTGTTTTTTCCTTCACGGATGCTGCCAGACCTGCTGAGCTTTTCAGCAACTTTGTTT